TCCCAAGCACGCTGCCCTTCTGCAGGGACTGGTCTCTCCTGACAACGTGGCCAGAGCACGTGAGCTGAAGTCTCACCACCCTGGCCTCTAAGGGGCGCCCTGGCCATGCTTCTTCCAGGACGACCCATGTGTCCTGCGGTCCAGGGATTACAGTCTTCTTGGCCAGCGCCACCATTCACACACACCGACTCCTCGCCGCTCTTCCTTACACGCAGGAGAGAGGTGGGATGCCCAGAAACCCACAGTGGGCATGCCTGGGCCCCACACGTTACCCCATGGGACGGGGTGGGGGTGGGGACTGAAGCATGCGGGCCGTCCCACTGCTTGCTGTGCTGTGAAGAACACTAAGGTCCTTTGTCTCTGACCCCCGAGACCTGTGCCTTCTGCCCCATCACGGAACCGTCACTGCAAGCTGACCAGCGTACAAGTCTCAGGCCCATCGCCGCATGAGAACAACAGTGAACGCACCACCATGGCCTAAAGAACACGCAGACGTGTCCTGGAAGAAGTACAGCCAGGAGGCTCCTTAGAGGCCAGGAAGGCGAGATTTTGTCCCATGTGCTTTGGATAAGTTAGGAGAGGCCAGTCGTTGGGTGGCCACAGTGGTGGCCACAATGGGGTCGAACCTAAGAACAATGGTGAGGACATTGCAGGACCAGGCAGTGTGAACATTGGGTTGATATGGGTCAGAACTGACCCCATTGACGTGGCACCTAACCCAAACCTGCGAGACCCCACAGCACAGGGCGCTCCATCCTGCCATGTCTCAGGGCCTCCTCCTCTGTGTGCTGGGGCCTGGGCAGCTGAGGGGTGTGGCAAAGCCACATGAGTGTCCCACAGTCCTGGTCCTGACACTGCCAGGCCCCACTCCGCCCTGTCCCTTCTCCTGCAGGACAAGAGGAGCTGGGGGCAGTGAGACCCTGCAGGATGTCCATGCCTCTGAGCTCCCCTTGGGCCCTCTCCAGCCTCCAGGGGTCTGGTGGTGTCCCCTCTAGTGGGTGGGGGCAGACACAGACACTGAGAGTGCACGCCCCGGGGAGGGGCATCTCAGGTTGGAAGGAGGAAGGGCTCCCTCTGGGAGCCAGCAGGCCAAGGCACTGGTGCACAGGGGTCCACGGGCTGTTTCCCCCGGCCTCCGGTGCCCAGACTCACCTACACAGTCCTTCCGGTTCCAGTGGAGGCGCTGCCCCGGTGGGCAGACACACTCGAAACTGCCCTTGGTGTTGACGCAGCCCTGGTCGCAGCTCCCGTTGTTCACACTGCACTCGTCCACGTCTGCCAGCACAGGTGGGCGTGAGGCCCTCACCAGGGCAGGTTGGGAGGGTGGGGCGTTCTCCGATGCCACCCAGCCAGCCACCGTGGTCAGGTGCAGGCACGGGCCACACACAGCCAGGAAGACTCACGCACACAGAATCTCACTCACAGCCGAAGTCACGCACAATCATAGAGCCACACACTCCCATGCACACAACCACACATCACACACACAATCATAGAGCCATGTCATAACACAGTCTTAACCACACACAGTCACACGACCACATGCCACACATGTTCATACAGCCATGCCATCACAGCCACACACTGTCACACAGCCAAGCACACACTGTCACACACATACACTCATAGAGCCATGCCGTAACACAGTCTCAACCATACACACTATCACACAGTCACACACTCAACCACGCACAGTCACTCAGCCAGTACACGCAACCACACACAACCACACACAGTGTCACCGGCACAATCAGGTGCACAAGGCTCCCCATGGACACAGACGTCCAGCTGTGCCCCCCCTCTCCCTCCCAGCGTGGCAACAGAAAAGGTGGGGCTGGCTTTTCAGCCTCAGTTTCCCCTCCTGCCCTATAGCCACGGGGGCTCAGTCTCTGATGATCAGCGACCAAAGGCCCCACTGGCGATGGGGGAGGGCGCGTGGCGGGGGTGGGGGCGAGGGGCAGGGGCCCTGGCGGGCAGGCTGCAGACCTCCGCAGTGGGTGGTCCCGTAGAGCGAGTAGCCGCGGTGACACTGACACTGGAAGCTTCCAGGGGAGTTGATGCAGACGTGGTCGCAGGTGCGCTCGAAGGAGCACTCGTCGATGTCTGCACAGCCCCAGGGAGACAGAGCAGGTGGGCGGGGGTTCGGGGCTGGGTGGACAGCACAGCCCCTCACTCACAGGCCCGGGGAAGTGGGAATCACTGGCCAAGACGCACAGCACACATCATCTTCTGGTCGCTGCCCCACTTCCCCTGCTGCCCCCATTGACCTCATTCTCCTGGGTTTGAGGCCACAAGTCTGTTCTGGACACGGG